CCTGTACCTCGGTAACCAACCCGTGCGCCTTGGTTGCCACCCCCCGTGCCTCGGCCGCCACCCCCCGTGCCTCGGCCGCCACCCCCCGTGCCTCACTTGAAGCTGCAGTCTCACCGCCGGTTTTAGGAGTAGAATGTTGGATCCCATCAAAGAGAAATTCAGCTCGGCTTGTTGCAGCGACCTAAAGTGATAAAAAAGTCAAACCTGGAGGGAAAAGCACGCAGTTCAGGAGATCGTGGGTTTTACCTTCAAGGAGGAGCATTCGTCTTCACTGCTCGGGGAGGACAGCGGTAAAACTGTGGACAGACGAAGGTTTGATTTAGTTTTTGTTCTCTGAGCCAAAGACAGTATTAAGAATAAAGATGAATATCTAGTTTTAGATGCAGATGACACCCAGCTCTACCTCCCCTCTAAACTCACCCCCTCCCTCGGGGTCCTCCACAGGATCCAGCTTTAATCTACTCACTCTTCAGCTGACTCTTGCTTTGGGGTTTCTTCCGGCTGTACGATCGACCCACGCGTCGCTCTGCAGAGGGGGAGTTCTGGACCACCTCACCTCCACCTGTTGAACTCGCCGCTTTCTGGAGTCAAATCAGCAGCAAAATTAATCAGGTAACTCAAACCTCATTGATTCAAACACAACGGTGACCAGCAGGAGGCGCTGTTCTAAACTAAGCAGAGGAAAACCTGAGCATGGCATCCATCTTTGATTGGGTACCTTGAAGACTCTCCATGCTGCCTCCTCCAGCTCCCTCTGGTGTTCAGCCCTGAAGGTCAGCGCCACCATGTAGCCTCTGATGTTCCCGTGCATGATGGGATTGATCAGTCTAACTCTGAGGACCGTCTCTGCAGAAAGGCATGATGGGAAAAGAGCCTCATTGTTCATTAAAACAGCTCAATGTGGCTCTGATCTATCTGTTCTAGATCTGAGATCTTAATCTCAGTGAGAAAGAACCAGTTTCATCATGATGATCATCTAATGCTGTGACCTCCCCATCACGATGGCACCTCCTAAACTACGCTGCCCCCCAGAGGCTGATCGGTGCTACGGCGTCACTGGGATCAAAGATGCTCTCATTAAGAAGCTAAATGAAACCTGAGGGGGGCGAAGGGTTCAGGTACACTGACAGGACAAGCTGATGTCCTGGAAGTCATTTCATCTCACCGTGATCTTTGACCTGCAGATCGTAACAGTGGATGTCCTCACGCAGCAGCTGGATGGAGCCCCACAGGAAAGCCTGAGAAACAAGCGGAACAAGGAGAACATGGTCAGATGGGTCCAACTCTTCTCAACCAGTCGAGGACTCAGCTTCATCTACGTGTTTCATTAAACAGAGATCAGTGCATCCTAAAGATCAAGCGTTGATCGATTTGTTGTG